GGCACTTTTACACCCATGTAACTGGTAGGGGCAGTACTGACTAGATAGCTTCATTAGAAAAATGACCCCCCTTCCTGGAGCCACATTCTTACTAGCTTAAGTGGTGAGGAGTCCTGTGGCACCTTATAGACTAACTGAAGTGTTGGAGCATAAGCTTTCATGGGCAAAGATCCACTTCGTCAGATGCACGTAGCTTGACTTTGCACAATACACCCATGTAACTGGTAGGGGCAGTACTGACTAGATAGCTTCATTAGAAAAATGACCCCCCTTCCTGGAGCCACATTCTTACTAGCTTAAGTGGTGAGGAGTCCTGTGGCACCTTATAGACTAACTGAAGTGTTGGAGCATAAGCTTTCATGGGCAAAGATCCACTTCGTCAGATGCACGTAGCTTGACTTTGCACAAGCAGGGCCTCAAAGGTCGTATAAGGAGGCTGTGGTGAAGCTGGGGCAAGAACTCAGTCTGTCTATGCCATGCCCCATACATCATCTTTCCTAACCTGCAAATGCAACTCTGATCAAGGGCGTTCAGAATCTCAATAAAATCAAACACTTAATTTATTGTATTTGGGTGTTTGTGTATTCAATTGTACACTTTTTTCACCCCGTTTTTGTGGCTTCGAGAAGTCTTTTCTGGACGGGCACGAGGGGGCACATGTTCCAATGTGGCTTGGGAGCTAACAGGGGGAACCTGTCTTCCTCCCCCATTCACAGGCACCGACATGGAAAGTCGAGCAACATGGCCAAGGGAAGAGAGCAAGCTCAGGCTGCATTGCTCCGCTTTCCCTTGCTGCTGCTTGTGGGTGTGTGGAGGGGTAAACCCCCACTGCTGGTGCTGGACCCCTGGACTACATCGCTAGGGGTAGGGTGAATAGGTGGAAGAGGGTGGAGCAGGGACAGGGAGAATAGGGGAGAGAGTGGGGAGAGGCAAGCGGGGAAAGGAGTGGGGTTGTCTTGGCCCTTCCCCAGCCGGGGGGGGAGGGGGGGTCGGTCATGTGGCCTGTGATCCCCTGTGGCCCCTTTGCCAGTCGTCCCTGCTTTTCTCATTCCCTTTCGCTGAAGAAGCGCTATTACTATAAGCCAGTGTTTCTCAAACTGTGCTCCGCAGAGCCCCAGGGCTCCACAAGACATCTCCAGGGGCTCTGCGAGGTTGACAAACTGGAAACATCGATCTGTACAACACATACAGTCAGTGGACCTCTGGGGTTCCACGTACGTACAACACATACAATCAGTGGACCAGTGGGGCTCCGCATAAATTTTTACGCATGTAAACGGCTCCGGAGCCCAAATAGTTTGAGAACCGCTGCTATAAGCCATTACCAGGGCTTCCCACTCTGTGTGTTGGGTTTGATTCTCCAGTGTCGTGTTAACCCATCAGCTCAATGTTTCAGAGCAAATTCTTGGGAAGTTGGACTTCCTATATGTGCCAGCATTCCACATGTTTGCCACTAGCCCAGATGCAAATATTTAGCTTTTAACCTTTCCCGGTGCCCCTCCCACTCTTTTAAATAAAAGATGATGAAGAATCCACATTTAAAAAATTATTTTCTCCTGTCTCTCTATTGGTGGACAGCTCTGCAAAGGGAACTTGGTTGGACCAATGAATGTGAAGTGCTGGGGAGAGACTGGCACAGAAGCATTTGCTTTTTCTTTGCTGGGAATGGGAGGCTCAGGTTTGCCGTTTCCTCCCCTTTACCAGAAAGTGCTAAGCTGGCTGATCGTTAACCAGGCCTCTTGTTTGTTTGCCTGTCAGTCAAGAGAGATTTGCTAACCCTGAGCGCACCAGCCTTGTCTGTCGTCTCTGGCTGCAGGAGAGGAAAGGTCTGTAGTTAACAGGAGGAAGTCAGTTTCCAGAGCACTGTAACCATTGCAATCTTTGCAAAGACCTTGTGTTACTGGGTGAGTCTGCTGGAAGAGAACCGTGGGGGTTTTGATCAGGTTTGTTCAAGATGGGGCAGTGAGAATTTCCCAGGGCTCGCT